GACACCGGGGTGTGAGGAGACACCGGAGTGTGAGGGGACACCAAGGCTCTGAGGGGTCACTGAGGTGTGAGGGGACTGCAAGCTTTCATGGGACACTGGGGCTGTCAGGGTACATCGTGGCTCTGAGGGGACATGGGTGCCGTGAAGGGATACCTGGGGCTTTTTGGGGACATCAGGGCTCTGAGGGGACACCAGGCTTTGAGGGGACACGGGACTCTGAAGGTCCTTTGGGGGGGCACTGGGGCTCTGAGAGGACACAGGGAGCTGTGCGGGGGCTGTGAGGGGACAGGGCTCTGAGGGTGCTCTGAGGGGACATGGGAGGCTCTGAGGGGACTCTGGGGCCATGAAGGGACTCTGGGGCTCACAGCGGTCCCGTGGCCCGTGGGCTCTCCCTGCCGGGCCGGGCAGGTCAGGCCACCCTGGGCCGGAGCTGGGGAAGGAGCCTCAGGGGTCCCCTCCAGCCATGCCCCCAGCGCTGCCTTCCAGGCTCTATGTTTGCTCCCTACTTCAGAAAAAACACCAGAAAGCTGCTTAGAAACGGCCTTGGGACTGTGGGGCAGGAGCTCACAGGTTAGTGAGTGTGGGAGTTAAGGTGTGGCACAGGGCTGGGATGAGAACCTGTATTCAGTGTTTGCTTCTGCATATCCCATCCCCTGGGTACATTCTACACCTATAAACCTCAATCAGGCACCAATGTACTTCCATAAAAGAGGTCTTAAACCTTTCCCTTCAGGTGGGCTGAGGCCAGGGTTTGCCTGGGGAAGGTGCCAGGCCCCTGAGCCCCCAGGGCAAGGGGCAGCAGGGGGCAGTGGGGACCTGGAGTTTCCTGTCCACAGAACACCTCACGTGTAACAGGGTTGTTTTTCAAAGCCTGTCCCAATGAGCCATGGACACCACAGCCTGGGCTGTGAGCAGGAGGCAAAGGGGATCTGGAAGGAAATTCGTACCATGAGGAGCTGAGTGGAGCAGCCGCTCCCACCAAAGCTCAGCGGGAGGCAGGAGTGAGCAGCAGTGGAAGGCAGCATGAAATAACCCCTGGGGTGTGACCTCCTGACTGAGCTCACCATAGAGCTTCAGGGCTTGGAAGAGGTGCCTCCAGACCAGGTGTCCTGCACAGACCTTATCCAGCTGGTTGCCCCTTCCCAACTGCTCCCAATTGTTTTCCTAACATTCACTAAGCACACAGAAAAGTCCCAGGAAAGACACAAGTCTGCCAAATGACTCTGGGAAGCTTAACTCGTGTTCAACTTGGTTTCTGCAGCCTGTTTCTTGGATTTTTTTGAACCAACTGAACACTGTCAGGAGCAACAGGACAGACTGGAGGGGTTCTCCCATTCCTCCCCACCACATGCATTGGGACACTGTGCTCCAGTCACTCTTTTCTTTCCTCTGGCATTGCAGGTGGCAACAGGGCTATGCTGAACTGCCTCACTTCACTGCCACACCCCTGCACAACCTCTTCAGTTCCAGTAATTCCCACATCCCATGCAAGTATAGATGCAATTCCTTTGTTAACCAAAGCACCCCCTCAGAATTTTGACAGAAAAGAAAGGGCCCTTCATCACATTGGTTTGAATTTTTCTCTACAGGTTGGTGGGTGGTGTTTTGTCTTTCCCTAATTCTTGAACAAAGATCATTGTCCCAAAGCTCTCTGCAGTGACCAGTGGCTCAGCTGGGAATGCCTTGGTCCAGCAGATTTATTAACCCTTTTTAACTTTTCAAAGCTGTTAATTCATGGTCATGGCTCTATAATTTCGTTGGAGGTTGCCTAGGGAACAGTGATCACGACTTGATTACATTCAATTTCTGCAGAGAAGAATCCATTCAGTAAACAGAAATATAGGATGCTTTAAAAAGTCAAACCCCATAAAGAGAAGAAAAACTGAGAAAAAAGCAGTGATGGGGAAAGGCAGATAGAAAATTGTAGTAAAAGGCAATTCCTTAGGATTTATTTCAAGAGTCACCAAGCCAACACCAGAGAAGAGAAACCCCCACCCTACTTCAGTGGTGAATTGAAACTAATAATTAGCAATAAAGAAGAAAGCCATAACAAATGGATGAAAAGGGAAATAATTAACAATTTTCTCTATTTCATAACTGGTAATTTGCATCAGCAGGGTGAGCTAGGTGCCTGCAGTCACTGTAGGGAACTGTGTCCCTGGCATTGCACCTCCCAGCTTGTCTCAGCAGGAATTTGCTCCCTCATTCCTGCCTCGGGCATTGAAAACCAGCCTGGATTTTGGCTGCAAAGGGGTCGGGTTCCTGGAGAGCCTCTGGAGAGCAGGATGGAGCAGGTCCCAAGGTCAGACCTTAGTGTCTTGAATCTTCAGGCTCTCAAATCCATGGGTAAGCGTGTGAGCTTTAACCCTTTGCTGTCCCAAAGGGCTGTCAGGGATGCAGGAATGGGGGAGGAACTGGGGAGCTCCTGGGGCTGGTCCTGGGGCCAGTCCCAGGCTCTGGCCCCTGGGGAAGTGCCATGGGATGGGGGTAAGACCAGGGTGGGGAGATCTGGGCCTGATCAAAGGCTGAGTCAGAGCCAGCAACAGAGATTTGTCCTTGTCCTCCTCAGACAGGAGTGGCCTGGGAGCATCCTGGACTTCCCACAGCCCCAGCAAACCAACCCTCTGTGTGTTCCCTTGTTCCCTCTGGATCCATTTCCATGCTGGATCCCCACAGCAGAGACAGCCTCCCACAGCGTGCTCATGCACCGTTGGGAAGTGCTTCCTGTTGGTCTGAGCCAGCTCCAGCCCTGTGCTGTTCCTCGAGGCTTTGCTCTAGGGAATGAAAATACTCTTCCCTTTGTTTCCCCCTCAGTGACCCCTTGCAGGTCTCTTCTCTGCCAGGTTGTGACATGCACCCAGCCTGTCCCCCGCTGTTAATACACCTTACTGTCCTGAAGAGCTTTAGGAGAGAGATTTTGTTCAATTTGCAAAAATTGCTGTTTATATTTGATCTGATCCGCCATTATTTACATATTCCATGTTGTTCTAGCAAGAATTCCCTCCTCTGAGCCTTGCTGGATGTTGCCTCAGCACTGCATGTTCTCTCATGCATGTTCTAATGCCATATTTTCTTCCATCTTCCAGCATATCTGACAGGTACCAAAGCCAGGTTTAAGAGTCCAGTGTTTCCTGGATCCTTTGGAGCCCTTTCTAGAAATCAGCCTGGCCTTTGCCACCTCTCCTCTGGTTTGGGAAGGTCAGGGACCTGCTGCCTGTGTCTTGCTGCAGGGTCTGCCCTGAGCAGGTACCAGCCCAGTAGTTTTTCAGCAGAATTCCCACTTCTGATGTGTTTGAAAAATACACTACTGTTAATTCTTATGTGGTAAGCGAATTACACTCAAAATATATTTTCATCTCAGTTAATGCTGTTTTTAGCTTGTGGGGAATTTGCATCTTTTGCTGTTTTCCTGGTTTGAAATAGATAATGCTAGTTTTTGCAGAATTTTTATTTTATTCCATTTTAGTTTTACTACTTATTTGTGTTTTGACTACCTTGCTTTCCTGTTAAACCATCCTCCTGCTGATTCACCATGGTATTTATTGCATTAGGATCTGTTTTGTAGGAGCCACACATCCACACAGGGCTAGACAGTGTCTCCCTGTTTTTTGCAAGTATTTTCCTCTGTATTTAATTGAGCCACAGAATACCAAACTGATTTGGGTTGGAGGGGACCTCAAAGTTCATCTTGTTCCACCCCCTGCCACAGGCAGGGACACCTTCCACCAGCCCAGGTTGCTCCAAGCCCTGTCCAACCTGGCCTTGGACACTTCCAGGGATCCAGGGGCAGCCACAGCTTCTCTGGGCAACCTGTGCCAGGGCCTCCCCACCCTCACAAAGATATACCTCTGGATGATTCCCCACACCACTGCCTACTCACCTCACCCACCACCCCTCACTGAACCCTTCTATGATGGTCTCATATCAAGGGCTGATACCCCAGGTCTGTTGTCCTTTAGCCAGGGCTCATCTTTCCTGGAGATGCTCTCTCTATCTCCAAAGTTTCTCCAGGTTATTTCTAAGCCAAAATCCAATCCCCATAGGCAGCAACCTGCCTGTCCTCACTGAGCAGCAGCACTGCCTGCCCTGCTCCAGCTTCCTCTGCATCAGTGGGTTAGGGGAATTTTTAACTCTCTCTTGGTCTTGGAAGAGGGAAACATAAATCTCTTTAGGAATGGATCCACCTCCCTGTGGCCTTTTTGTGCTAAGATTGGTCTCAGAGAACCACAGAATATCCTGAGTTGGAAGGGACTCATTGAGTCCGTCTCCTGGTCTGTGTTGCTGTGCCCTGCAGGAAAGTGCAGGTGGCTGGGGTGGCAACAAAGATCCCAATCTCCTCCTGCAGGAGTTCCCTTGGTGCCAGCTCAGTTATGTCTCCCTTATCTCACTCCTGGCTTCCCAGTACACTGCCAACAGCCCCTTGGATTTAGGTGCTGGCAGAGATCTTTGAGCTTGACAGAGGGCCCAAAGCTGCCAGTTCTTCAACATCTTAATGAAACAAGGCTGTTACTTTGCACTTACCCACCTCTTGGATCCTGAAGTGAAGTGATGCCCCTTGGGCAGCCGTGCTACAGTCCTGGAGAGGCCTCCGGAGCCTTTCAGCTCCAAATTACCAGTTTCAATCCACCAGCTGCAAGAGGTCCTGGCTGTTGGCACGCCCCTGAGAAGTGGCCCTAGGGACACCAGATGCCTCTGGAGGAACAAGTGAGCAGCCCTTGGGTAGTGCAGGCAGAGCCTGCCTGTGTGTCCCAGACCATGCTGCTTCCTCAGTTCCATCCACCACCACTCCAAACACAGTGGGATGCTCTGGCACAGCAACAGTGGTAGCAGAAGTTTCCAGCCACATCTCCTCCATCCTGGTGGTGCACCAGGGCCTGTCAAGGGCACTGAGCTCTGTGACCCCCAACAAGGGCACAGGGCAGGGCAGGGACGTCCTTGAAGAGCTTCCTCACGTGTCATCCTTTCCAATCCATGGAAATGTTCCTTTGTCTGAGCACTGCAAGGGGAGTCTGTTTTCCTGCACATCTTCCCAGCACTTTCAGAGCAAAGTGACACACCAGGAGACTCTGCCACAACCTGGCAGCCTAGGCTGGGGGACTGCAGGCTGGCATGCCTTGAGAGACAAGGGAAGAGGGAATCCGCCCCTGGGGGAAGGGAGCCCAAGAAATCTGGTCCTTGGCCAGTCTGGGGTAGTGAAAGGTGCTGGATCTGTTCCCCTACTTTCATCAGAACCGCCATCCTGGCATTTCCCTCCTGGGTCACGCTGCTTAAGGGTAGAAAATGCCAGTCCCAGGATTGCACCACCCAGCACTGCAGCAATGTTAGAGTGGGAAGAAACTAGGAGAAGATGGGAAATGCTCTCAGCAGAAGTCTGTGTATTTGTCCCTGACCTGCAGCTCATGGGACATGATGTCCATGGAAACCCTCTCTGCATGTCCCCAAGCCAGCAGCTGCCCTGGAGGAAGGTGCCACTGGGCATCAGGGGCTGTGTGCCCAGCTCACACTCCCTCCTCCCTCACAGGGAGCAGCAGGAGGCTGGGATGGAGGGCAAGGAGCAACCCAGAGGTGGCGGCACAAGGCTAGTAGCGAACCCCAGCCAAAATGCTTGCCCAGATACTGCCCAGGATGGCAGGGCCATGGGGAGGGCAGAGGAACTGAAGGAGGAATTGTTTAGCAAAGTTCCTCTTCTCAACATCTGTATGCAGCTGCTGGCTGAGAGGTGAGGAGCCAGTGCACCTTGTCCTGGGTCCATGCTGGCATGGCTGCCCTGGGGACTTACCAGCACATCCCCCACAGCGCCTCTGCCAACCTGGCCTGCATCTTGGGTGTCTTGTGGGTGGGGAAGGGGAGGCATTGCCTCGATGGACAGATAAGATCATTTCCTGAGCCAGCCAGCACCTTTTAAACAAGTTAAACCCTGAAGCCAGGTATGGGATGGGCAGGACTGGGGTTTCTGGACCCAGACAGTCTGAAACAGCAGGATGGATGTCCCCACTGGAGCTGCCCCTTGGGAATAACCCCATGGGAGATGGGGGTGACAACGGCCACCAAGGGAAAGTGGTAGAGAACAAACTGAGCTGTGATTTCAGAGACAGAGATGCCAGCAGCACGGATGGGGATGGCAGGCTTGGCACAGGGGATTGTTCTTCCTTCCAGGGGCTGATGGGAGAGCTCAGAGAGGGACAGCCCCCAGGCAAGCGTTCCCTTGCTGTTTGATCCCTGCTGCCTGATTCCTCACTGCCTGATCCCTCGATGCCTGATTCCTCACTGCCTGATCTCTCGCTGCCTGATCCTTCTCTGCCCCACTGCCCTTTTCAGTGTCCCGTGGATTTCTCCTGCGTCCCTGCTCAGTCTTCTGCACACTCCCAGTCTTGGGTGTGAGCTGAGTCACTGTGATGCCACTGCACCTCATTGCAACATCTCCCATCATCTGTTCTAGGAGCCATGAGGAGCCTGTAAATAGTTTCTTTGGCAAGATTTTTGTTTTGATCTAATGGCTCAGCTTCCTTCAAAGACAGGCATGGAGAGGCACTCCGTGAGGCAACAGGGAAGGTCATGGGGAGAACTGTAATTGGGGAGGATCAAACTCAGGCTCGAGCAGGAGTGTGGGCGGGTGGCTCAGCCCGGGCTGCCACGAGGCTCTGGCGTGTCACCACAGGCACTGACTGTCTCAGATCCTCCCCAGCCCCACGGTCACCTGTGAGTACTTGGCTGGCTGCTGGCAGCATCTGAGACAGGGCCGGGGGCCTGGGATGGCACAGACCCAGGGTGAGACCTCCACCCTGCCATTCCCATGGAGATCACAGCAGGATCCTGTGCAGCATCATGACATGGGATGGGGGAAGACAAACCAGGAAAGGATGAGCCCTCAGCCAGGCCATGCTCGGAGGGAAGGCACGTGCCATCCCCACACCCAGCCGACCTGCATCATCCACGTCACCAAGCGCACGGGCGGCTCTGCTGAGGGACAACAACTTGCTAAGCTGGGCCAGCTCCTACCTCCGAGCCCCATAATGAGCTTTGCTGGGAGCTGCTAAGGAGATGAGTGTGAGCAGGGAACCTTTGCTGTGGTCTAGTGGCTCCTTGGTCACCCTGGGCAGACAGGCTCCAGCTCCACTGGTGTGTTTGGAATGAGCTGGGGGAGTGCAGGGACACGGCTCCTGCCTGTGGCTCTGCAGATGGGCACCAAATCCAGGCATCTCCCACTGCAGCCCTGTGGGCAATGGGACCGGAGCACAGGCCAGGCAGTAAGAACTTCTACTGCAGTCTCCTGTCCAGGGCCAGACCCACAGCAGGGACTTGCTCTAGGTGCCCTGGAAAGCCAAAGCTCAGTTTTGGCCGTTGCCAGGAGCAAAGTCACCAAGGCAGGGAGCGGGGTGTCCCCTCCCAGCTCTGGCGGTGCAGTCACGGAGCGTCACTCTGTTCACACGTGCCTATTTTTAACAGCAATGCTGCTGATTCCTGCTCCCTTACCGAGACAGCTTCACCCGTGCCCTGGTTCTCAGCTCATTTCCTCCTCTCCCGGGGCCAGCCAGGGCCCAGCGAGTGGGTATGAACACCCAAGATGAAAAGATCGGATGGGAACGCTGTCTGCAAAGCAGTCATGCTCTAAGCCATCACTGCAGCATTCAGCTGAGCAGAGACCAAATTATAGAATCACTGAATTATAAAATCATTTAGGTTAAAGAATCTCTCTAAAATCAAGTCCAACCATTCCCCCAGCACTGCCAAGGCCACCCCTGAATCATGTCCCTAAGTGCCTCATCTACATGACTTTTGAACACTACCAGGAACTTCACACTTGCCTGGGCAGCCAGTTCCAAAGCCTGAATTCTTTCTCTTTATTACATGGGAAAAGGCAGTGGCTGGGGGCTGCCCCTCCCCTGTCTGCTATTGCCTGGGGTGGCTGAGGGTCATCAGAGTACCTCAAATGCCCCCCAGCACTTCTCAGCCCCAAGCAGCGGCCCGAGGGGCACCTCGTGCCCCATGTTCACACCGCAGAGCTGCCTCGGGCCGTGGCTGTCATTGTCCCCGTCCCCCCTCCCCACCCTCTTCTTCCTCCTCCCTCTCCCGCACTGTGCAAACTTTCCTCCCTTCGGTGTTCCCAGCACCAGCAGCTCCTCCTGCCTACTTGGCACCGGCAGCGGGAGCAGACGGGGCTGGGCAGGGCTGGCACAGCGGGCAGGGCAGGCGGCCACAGGCCACCGCGACCCCGCTCCGCTGCCGGCACTTTCATCCTTATCTGCAGCGTTCCGCCCGGCCCCTGGAGTGGCCCGGGAGCGCCGCGTTCCCACGCACGGGAGCTGCTCCCAAAAACCAG